GAGGGGATCGACTGATAGCTGGAGGCAGGGGTAACTCTGACAGAGAGCTTCTAGGTTGCTGACTTTTCTGCGCTCTTTGCTATTACTCTCCCTCCCCTCCGCTTGACTTTATTTGCCTCTCGCCTCTCCTCGGTAGTTTTTTAGGGAAATGTGCAGCATTTCTGGAAGAAAAGTCCGGAAAGTGGTAGGCACTCGGGAAAATTCAAGAAGATGGGAGGGGATCGGGGAAAAGGCCAAACAGCTGGACGTGCCGTGGCTACCACCATGCACATTTTCTGTCAAGCAGGAAATAAATTCTATGGCAAACTCCGCTATTTTTATTTTCCTTCATTCGAAACGTAGGGAGCCTCAAAGCTGTTCCAGCTGAGCTTTCTATTCGGATGAGCTTTTCCTCGTTTTCACAATCGAAACATCGCCGTCGCTGTTCGCTAGACAACCACGTATATCTAACCAGATTTCTATTGCAGAACAATATGAGCTCAAGCGACGACAGTTCTTCAAGGAAATCCAGCGAGTGTCATCGGTTCTTTGGCTACGGCAAACGCATTCCAAGAGGTAAGTGTTAGTACGAAGAGACCAGATCACAAAATGATGCATGGCGGACATTGGAGTTGCTTTGCAGTGACGACGCAAAGGCGGCGCTCGCGCGCGGCATTCGCACCAGGGACCGAATGACTTAACACAATGGTGGTAATCGAGACAGCTAGCTAGTTCGCACATGGATATAATGTCCCAACTCCAAATCTTCTATTCGAGGCAGAAATTTCCTAGAATTGAGGCGCAATTGTAACAACCGAGTGAAATAGCGGCCAATAAAATCGGTGCGGGACAGGAGATCAGAGCACACAGTACGCTTGGGTAGGTTGTCGAGAAGGAGGGTCTAGCTGGCTCTCTGGAGATATTGCGGTCGTCTTCTTGACCCATTCAAAGCGCGCTACTCAGTAAGGGAGGGGCTGTCTCAGAGAAATTCTCTCCGGCAGGCAGCGCACAGCTTGCCCTGTGTTTCCTGCCCTGGATGTCTTGCCCTCGGCGTAAGATACCAAATACTAGTGATGCAAACGTGATTCAAAAAACCCTATGACACATAAAATACGGCATAAAAAATTGGTGACGTTTGCAGACGTGAAGCGACACTGTGGTATGTGTCGACAACATGGCGTGGTGGTCGAGACACGTGGCCATATCTGCCAGTTCAAAAACTGTGAATGCGATAAGGTGAGACTTGTTATGAGACTAATGGAATCCCTCCATTTTAATCGGCATTCACAAAAATAACTCTGAAATGAGAAAATTATTGTAAAACGTTTTAGTGCAAGCTCGTCCGTAAACGACGATCCATAATGTCAACACAGATCCGCCTACGCCGCGAACAAGACAAAAGATTCCAGGTGAGAGAGACCTTCTGGATATAGCGGTGAAACTTCTCTGAAGCGGTCCACAAATAGTAACTCCTTAGCCCAGTAGGTTTTTCAAAGAGAAAAACGATTGCCTCTGAAGCCGACGTCGTGCCATCTAATGGTGTCTTTGAGCCGGAGAAGCGACACGATATCAGTCTGTGCTATTTCTGTCAAAAGTGCAAGAATCACGGAGTCCTGATGTGGAAAAAGGTAGGTTACCAATGTACATGGTCTCGTCGCCTGAGTTTGGCACTGCGCCAGCCACCAATGGTTCAAGGGGCAAGAAACACCAAAATGTCAAAATAGAACTACACGCCGCTCCAAGCCACCCCCCCCCGCCTTGATAACAGCTCCAGCCTCTTCAGCGAACAAGACCCAGCACCAATAAAGGGGCACAGCATGACCTTTCGGTCATCCCGTTGCTGACATTTTTAACAAGACTGCATAACAACCATGATCCCCGTTTTCAAAGCAATCTTTCCAAAGCTGAAAAGTCGAGCTCTTCCAAAGCTCCTCGGCTTTAGCTGGCGAAGCTCTGAGCTTTTGCAGTCGGGCGCTTTGGATCTAAGCAGTTCTAGAGTTTGTCAACAGTCTAATATAAGCCGCAACCGGAAGTGGATATTACAAGGAAATTTCAGGATCACAAACGGAGCTGCGAATATGCGAACTGTCGTTGTGAACAGTGTGATCTTATTGATACCAGGAGAGCACTGGATCGACATATAAAGAACAGCAAGGAGGCCAAATCAAGTATGGTGATCACAGCAGTCTGCCTGTATCGTAACCTCTTTTTTTCATAGAATTATGTTTGAATTCCAGCAAACTCCTCCGACTACGGCTCATCTAGTTCGTCTGAAGAGTACAGTTCTGGAAGCGACAGCAACACTGGCTCGCTGCCTTTCGTCACCATGCCGGTCTCTTTGGCATGCAGTACAAAAACGGTACGGTTTTGGCAGGGCACTAACAAGACCGACCAAGTGTTCAAAAAGTCGTTGGCCCTTAGCCATGCTCCTCAAAGGAAATGAGTTAAAAATTGCAACGGACTAAACAACCTCTCCTCCTTCGCTTGCAAGTAAACAAGAGGTGCATCTGTGTTGAAGAACTTAAACAAGAAAAGCTCTGCTGATGGCCGCCGCAACGCAGATTCCTCGGGGGTAAATCGTTAGCAAGAGATGGTCGTCGTCGCACGTCGGGGATCCCCAGCAAGGGGTGGTATTTGGTCGCTGGAGGGAGGGATGCACCTTTGCAAATAACCTTGAAAATGATGTGCCGGTTGTTGGCTTTTTTCTAGGCTATTCCATACCCCCCCTGCCCCTCAACCCTCCCCCGACGGCGGCAGTTCTCTGGGAAAGGATGCAGAATTGGAAAAAAAAACTCCGGAAAAGTCGTAAGTTGGGAAAATTGAGGAAGGTGGTAGTTAGGATGGGGATGAGGAAGGTGGGTCGTACCAGGGAAGGACATTCTAAGAGGGATAGTACTCCGCAGATATTTTCCTCAGTGGTAGGACGTGTCCTGATGTGCGGCATCGCCCGCAGGCTAGCAGACTCGGGACTCGTCGCGACAAAGTCGCCACGTTGGACTGATTTGGGTTCAGGTGCGTGTGCTGCTCATGTAACCCTGCTTGCAACGCACGGTCTGTCCGCTGCGGATGTTGGAATGCATCAGGTGGGATAGACTTCACCAACAGCAGCCCACCCTTCACCAATAGTTGTTGTTTGCCCGGCGTCAACAATTGATGGTAACTGGCTAGAGCTGCGCCATACCCCGCCTCCCTGACACGCCCCTTCCTCTGCAGCGAACAGGACCATAGTTTGTATGTGGCAAAAAAACAAATAAATGTCAATGAAAATCTCAATTTCAGATTCCTCTACTTCCAACCTCCGACATTCCTCTGCTGAAGCCAGCGATAAACACCAACGGTTCGTTGTTGTTGCCTGGCATACCTTCGGCATTCCTGCCACCTTCCCCT